TCGGATCTAGTTCTTCTAGTTATACATGCAATAATCTTCCAAGACTTGAAAAACCCTAAATCTAGCATACTAATTTCGAATACAACATATGAAATTAGGGTTTAGATCTTACCTTGATTGTTATGTAGCAATAACAATCACAATCCTTCTTGATCTTGACTTCTGAAAGCTTAGTGCCTCAAGTGTTGCACCTCTAATGGAGTCACAAACACCATGAGCAACAAGATGATTTAGGAGAAGGAGGAGGAGGCACAAAACGTCTAAGAACCCTTAGGGATTACTTTCCACTCGTTTTTAGGGCCTTAGGGGTTCCTTATATAGTTAGGCTATTAGGGTATTCAACCAGGAAACCCTAATCTGACTGATTAGGCCCTAAGCAGCCGATAGACTCCCTCCTTAGAGGCCTTGGACGAATTCTAATGGGTTTCCCCATAGATTTCATCCACTCCAACTTCTATGGAGTCCAATAGCCAAATTTATGCAATTATCTTATAATTACAGTAGCAGTCCCCTTTATTTAATTAATCTCTTTTAGCCACAAAATTAATTCTTATTAATTCTTGACTAATATTAATTAAACAATATGATTTCTCTTTTAATATATTATTCATATAATATATTAATAAATCATAATTAATCCTCTTTCTCCTTAGTTCATCCTATCAGTTGCTATGGTGAAGGCAACCCAAAAGAACCATGCTCACAATCGGGCCAAGTACATACCAAAATAGTTATGGGCTTAGACACCTAATCCAACACAATCCAACATGCCCGAAGACTCAGGGAACTTCTTGCTAAGTGCAAGAGAGACAAATGATCGGGTAGCACCCGAATCGATCAACACCTGAACTGGAATATCGTTCACATGGAACGATCCTAAACAAAACACATAACATAGCACATAAATATCATAAACAACATATAATAATAGCTAGGGAGAAGAAATCATACCCGTCTCCACATCGGGTGCGGCGCGTGCCTCCTCAATAGTCAACTGGAAGGCTCAGCTCCTCACCACTGGAGCCTCTGTCTTGCCCTGCCGGCCATCAATGATCCGCAGGGTCGCTGGAGCTGGCGCTGCTGCTGCTGTCAATCTCGGGCAGTTGACATTTTTATGGCCTCGCTGGTTGCAGTGAAAACACAGCAACTCTGATGTCGGAATGATGAGGGTAGGGGTTGTACAATCCTTGCTGAAGTGCCCCGTCTTGCCGCACTTATAGCAACCTGATGTCCCTAGTCTACATGCCCCCTCCTGTGGCTTGTCGCACTTCCCGCAGCGGCTCCGGCCCTGATGGCCCTTTGACTTAGAGTCGAATCCCTTGTGTTTCTTCCCCGAAACTCCAATACCCTGCTCAGTCTCTGCCTTCCTCTTCTGGAGGTGCTCTATATCGATCTCCCTCTCCTTAGCCCTGTGTTTTGTTGTGTGTGGTACTTTGGGGGAACTCACTAAGCTTTGGCTTACAGGTTGATTTCATGGTTTCACATACATCATATGATCGGAGCAAGGCGAAGGCATGATTGAGCACATCATTGTTGGATATTTTATTGATAAATGATTTTGAGATACTCCGATTAACGATTATGGACTTTGGAACAATGTTTTGAATGATTTATGGATTATTAAAATGGTTTTAAAAAATGACAATTTTTACTATGATTTTTGGGATATTACATTTTTTACACAGATATCATATACACCTAATATCTATAAAATTCACATAAACACACACACACATACACACACACATATACACACACACACACATATATATATATATATATATATATATATATTTTAAGTAATTTAATTTTTTATTTATTTATAGAAGATTTCAATCGTCGAACGACATACATACAGATTCATAACTATGCCTAGCGATAAACGCGGACGTTACACCATATTCCTCCATCACTCGATAATTAATGAGCATTATAACAAACATTATTATGATTTTTATAGGGGTAGTTATGCACCACTATAATGAGCATTCATAACATATCTCACAGTTCATCAAACATTATTATGAGTTTTATGGGGTAGTCATGCACCACTATAATGAGCATTCATAACATATCTCACATTTCATCTTCTTTGTCTAGTATAAACTAGGCGAATACCCGCACGTTGCGCAGAATACAACAATATAATAGGCGAATGCCCGCGCGTTGTGCAGAAACACCTATATAGTTGAAGTCTTTACAAATATATGTTTTTTTTAATATAGCAATAACGTTGTTGTTAAATTTGATATAATAATTCGTATACTAAATTGATATAATGTATTGATTATATTGAATTATATGATAATATATACTTCTATTATAACTGCATAATCTCAATCGTTTGAATGACTTCTACCCGCGACTTACACATGAATAAAATTAAATATAATTTATGGTTTAATGTTATTTATAGTTGTTGTTATTGTTAATTAATTTTTTAAAATTTATTTGCTTCATGTTTAATTTTTTTATCATTATAATTATTTAAAACATCAAACATTGTTTTTTGATTTTAAAGGTAACAATATAATCATTTATATAGAGTTATTTTAACTATTGTTATTGTAAGTTATTTTAAGCTACTTATTTGAAACCTTTTAACGATTATAAAAATATCTTCAGGAAATATTTTAGTTCATTTGATATTACAATTTAAATTTTGCATTTATCACTACAATTTATCACTTTTAACTATTTACAAAATATTCTTTGGTTTTTTAAGTGGAACTGAAATTTATATTTAAGTTGACATTGTAACGTTAAATTTAAAATAACAATTTAAGTATTTTATCCAAACTGTTCAAAAGTTGTAGCTTTAAACTGATAATGGTTTACATACAACAACACATTAAATCTAATAAATTAAGGATAATATGTTAAAAGTTAAAGACATAACTTTATAAGTAGAAGTAAATATATTATTTTAAAATTGAAATTTAGTATATTTATGATTACGCTTTAGGTTTGATATTTATTTAACGTTATTAACCAACTTATAATCATTATTAGAAAAACACTACAGTTAATCACTTTTAACTATTTACAAAATATTATTTGGGTTGTTTACGTTAAACTAAAATTTATATTTAAGTTGATCTTGTAATGTTATATTCAAATTAATAATTTAAGTATTTTATACAAATTGTTCCAAAATTGTATCTTTAAAATGATAATGGTTTACATCCAACAATATATTAAAACCAATAAATTAAGTATAATATGTTAAAAGTTAAAAAAAATCACTTAAATAAGTAGAAGTAAATATATTATTTTAATATTGAATTTTAATTTATACATGATTACACTTTAGGTTTGATGTTTATTTAACCTTATTAACCAACTTATAATTATTATTAGAAAGAAATTGAAAAGTCATGGGAGTTTCAAATGAATGTGGTGAAAGGAAAAAATAAATGGGAGTTTCAAATGAATGTGGTGAAAGGAAAAATGATTCCTTTATAATATAGTATGATGATATGATATGATTTGATTTGAAATCTTTACAAATATATGTTTTTTAAATATATCAATGACATCGTTGTTAGTTCTTATATAATAAATATTATAATACATTGATATAAACATTGTTTGTTTTGAATTATATGATAATGTAGACATCTTTTAAAATTATATAATTCTTATTGTCTCAATAGTCTCTACAGCAGGTTAGTCATGAATAAATTAAATATAATATACTTTGTTATGATTAATTAACTTTAAAAAGTTTATTTGCTTAAAATTTTAATTTCTATTATTGCAATTATTTAAAACATCAAACATTATTTTTGTTTTTAAAGGTAATAATATATTTTTTGTATATAATGTTACTTTTAACTATTGTTGTTGTAAGTTATTTAAAATACCGTATTTGAAAACTCTTAATTATTTTAATTTGGTTTTAGAAATTTAACCTTTTTAAAATTTATTTGATGAATATTATTAGTTTCTTTGATTCTAATTATTTAAAACAACAATTTTTTTTATAAAGATAACATTATAATTTTTTATATAATATTATTTTTAACTATTCTTATTGTAAGTTATTTTTAAGCTACTTATTTGAAAATTCTTAATTATTATAAAAAATAGTTTCATGGTTTTTTTTTGTTAATTTAGGATTACAATTTAGGTTTAACACTATAATTTGTAATTTTTACTATTTAAAATAAGAGTCTGGATTATTTTTTAAGTTTAACTGAAATTTTGATTTAAGTTAATTGTTTAACATTATATTGAAATTAATAATTTAACTATTTTGCATAAAATCATAAATTATACAAATTTTTTTTACTTTAAAAATGACAATTGCTCACATACGACAACATATTTAAACTAATAAGTTAACTATAATATTTTAAAAAGTTAAAGTCATAATTTTATAAATAGAAGTAAAATATGATATTTTAATATTATAGTTTAGTTAATTTATGATTAGAATTTAATTTTTACATTAATTTAACATTATTTACCGATTTACAATAATTATTAGAAAGAAATTGAAAAGTCATAGAGGTTTAAAATGCATGTGGTGTAAGTAAAAATGTCTCTTTTATATATATATATATATATATATATATATATATATATATATATATATATTGAATATTATGTATTATAAAGGTCAATTGTTTTTACCACAAGTGATAAAATAAAGTCCTTTACAATTTTATTTTCTACTTTGTTCTTTTACTTATTTTTATATAGAACAATTGCTTTACCACAAATGATAAAATAAAGTTCTTTACAATCTCATTTTCAATTTCATTCTCAGTTTTTTTGGACATTAATATAAAAACTGGACCTTAATAAAAAAAACTGCAAATCATAGGGATATTTTGTAGTTTTTCATCTAGAAAATAACATAAAAAACATGTTGTGATCTTATACTTCTAGTTTCTAGAATCCAATAAAATATAATATTCAATTTCTTCCCAACAAGAAAAATCTTTTGCTTTTATGCGCGACTCATCCCCTTTTTCATTCACATCCCCTTAAAACCCAATTAGAATCAACCTTTATATTCTTCTACATCAATTTCTTCATATAAAACTTCATTGAGGATCATATTTGATCAAAACTCACTGTCATTTCGTACTTTTCTTCTGAAAATTTCTTGATAAAATGAAAGCCGGAAATCCTCTAAATCTCACGTCTCTGAATCACGTCTCCTTCCTATGCCGATCACTACAAGAATCAGTCGACTTCTACACCAAAATTCTTGGATTTGTCCCAATTAAGAGACCTCAAGATTTTGATTTTGATGGTGCATGGTAATCCAATCAATTCAGTAGACCATGTTGAAAACGAGGTCACTCTGTTTTTGTTGCTTTTGTTTTTCCATTAGTAAAGCTCTGTTTTTTGTTGCTCGATGTTATCTAGGCTTTATAACTATGGAATTGGGATACATTTGATTCAATCAGCAAACCCAGATAAAATTCTCAAGAAAACTGAAATAAATCCAAAAGATCACCATATTTCCTTCCAGGTGGGCAAAACTTTCCCCAGTTTTCTTTCATAATTCATCTCTGTTCTCCAAGTTCGTCATACTCTGCTATATTGCAAGTAAAGATAACTGAAAAAAACCAAGAATCAACATACAATTTTTTTCCGACATTTTGGATGTTTAATCAAAATTCAGAAGTTCCAATTTGACGGTTTTTTTTTTTGTCATTTGTGAGCTGTAAACATGGCAATTTTACAAAGGATGATAAACATACGATGTGTGAAAATGTGTGTACAGTGTGAGAACATGGGAGCTGTGGAGAAGAAACTGAAAGAAATGGGGATAGAGTACAGGAGACAGAGGGTGGAAGAATATGGAATCCATGTCGATCAGTTATTTTTCCATGATCCTGACGGGTTCATGATTGAGATCTGCAACTGCGATATTCTTCCGGTGATTCCCATCACTGGAGAGATGGGTCTATTGAGCTCCCGGATTCGTGTTCTGCCGCTACAAGCAGCATTAACAAATACGACAGTTTGTTCTGCTGTGAAAAGATAGGAGAATTCAAAAATTGGTGGTTGTGGCTTTCAAGTTGTGATCGGAGCTTCTTGCTCCAGCCTCCGGTGGTGTTTTCAGTTGGGTTGCTTGCTCGGAATAAGGGTTTGTTTCTGAAAGTGATAATTTGAAATAAAATAATCATAATCAACTATAACAAACGGGCTATGTAAAATATTGTGTTTGTATCATTATTATTTTTATTTTATTTTTGAAAAAATGTGTTTATATAATTATATGTGCTTTGGAATCTGTGATAATTATATAATTAGGTGTTGAATAAGTTTTAATTATTTTGTTTGTTTAATAAAATTATTTATTAACTGATAAATTGAACCAGAAGTGTAGAACGATATTTTTATATAATGTGATTTATTTATATGTAAAATATGGAAAAAATTTCAATGTTTTAAACATCTAACCTAATAAATTAAAATAATTTTTGCAAAATGTCATGTTGTCATTGATTTTGATACATCTTATTTTTATGATATTTTTAGAATTTTTTCTTTTCCACTTGGTTTTTTTTATGTTTTTTATTTTTTTACTTTTAAAATCCACATTTCCTAAAAGTTTATATATATATATATATATATATATATATATATATATATATATATATATATATATATATATATATGAAGTAGACAATTTTATTAAATTTTAGAATAAATGTTTTGCCTCCGTTTCTTTTGTGAGGGGTTATATATGTAAAGTAAATCATTTTTTAAAATATGATTAGTATATATATTGAATTATTTATTTTATTCATTATATTTTTGTATTTATATAAAAGTATTATTTTAAAAAATATGTAATGCTTACAAATTTATATTAAAATTTTATTTTTAATAAACTCGTGTGGTACACGGTTCTCACACATAGTTATTAATTCATAAATAGCATAAAAGTAGCCACACATAATTCAAGCAATTAGATCTATTCATAGTAGAAATAATCAAACATGTTAGGTTTTTTAAGTCCATAAGTTAGGGTTATAAAAACGTTCGGATAGTATTTTTTTTCAAGGAGATAAGTTAAACATATGATTTAACTATAAATGATTGTATATTTACCGTCACATTCATTTTACTCAAACTTATAAAATTTAATTTAATTTAATTTAATTATCTTTTTCAGAATGATGAGTTAGTATATGCCTACGATTGAACCTAAAACCTCATTGTTAGAAACATCTTGTTAGAAATCATGTTAGCCAAGTGGGTTAGACCCAACTTATAAAATTTAATTATCTACAATTTAAAGTTGTAATAATTTTGTAAAAGATACACAATGAAACACCCCCGTAAACTCCTAAATTGAATCTCACAATGACTTGAACTAATGTACTTTTAGTTTATTTTACTTGTTGGGATGTAAAGCTTGTTGAGACGAGTCTAGACCTAGCAATCTGTGTCCTCGTGTAGTGTATACGTGTTAGACACAACTTCACATGACACGAATTTGTAAAACACGAATATGACAAGAATTGTAAAACGTGTTTTGGGTATCAAACACGAACACAACATGTAATTAATCCATGTGACATGTTTTATTAGAACGACAAACTAAACTATTCCTAAATTACCACTTGTGTCTTTAACGAGACTTAAACTCATGATCTCCCAATTGAGAGAGTCACTCCTTACCGCTAAGCCAAAGATTGTGTAACATGTGACAAAATATTCCACGTTGTTAACTATGTTACACGAAAGCATAGATTTACACATGTAAGATATGAAGCATGGATTAACACATGTAAATCACGAAACAATATTTTAAATTTCTAATTTTTTTTAAATTGATCCCTAAACTTTCAGTAAATGTAAACTTTAACACCTAAATATGAAAGATCTATAGGTGTGTACACATGTTTATATGTGCCACATGTCATACAAATTTAATATGTGTATTATACATGTTAAAACAAATAAATTCATGTTTGATATGTGTAAGACACAAAGTATGAATTTAAAAATCGTGTCGACACAAATAGATACAAAACATGAATTTTTAAAACTCATACACGGAAACTCATGTTGTGTATCGAATCGTCAGGTCGAGATAAGTCCTTATTCATCTTCTTGATATTGTTAGACATATTTAAATTCGTTGTTATGGAGTTTTTTCGTGATATGAAAATACTCTTGAAAATATTGTTGTTTTATGTGTCAGATTATATTTTAGATGATTTTTTTTGTAACAATGTTGCATTAGACATTTGGTGTGTGTTGTATGAGGGAGAGTGAATCAGGGGTTGCTGATCACTTGGTTTTCAAATTATATAATTATATAACATTATTTTCTTTATTTAGGAATTTTATAAATTTTATAATTCTTTGTATTAAGGCTATAAATAAAGCTTTTTTAAGTGATGGTTTTATTTATTTATTTCATTTTATCCTGCTCTCTCCATATTGTCGATTTTATACAATGTAAAAGCCTTCACCTTCCTCGTCTATATTACTACAAGTTTCTTCTACTTGAGGATTTTTTTCCCACAAAGAGTTTTATCTATACTTGTGTTCTTATTGTGCTTATTTTGTGTATCGTGTTCATCATATTATAACTAATTGTATCAAAGCCTACTTTCCTAAAACCCTTGTCCTTTTATACTGAAATCGATTCTCTCTCTCTCTCTCTCTCTCTCTCTCTCTCTCTCTCTCTATATATATATATATATATATATATATATATATATATATATATATATATTGCAACCTGAAATGTCTCACTAAGGGTCATACCATGTCCATGAGTGTCATAGAGAATAATATGGAGTTCTTGAACTTGGCTCATCACAATCTTGGTGTCTGCCATTTTAAAGTCCAAGAGCTAGGCAACCACAAATTTCTTTGTTTCATTTGTTTTTGTACTTACAGTCCAATGACTCCCACTAGACATTCGTCGATGTAGCTTTGTAATATACATTATATAATGTGTCCACTAGTCTGTTCATCACGTAGTTACGCCATTAGAAATCTAAATGCTTCTAAGTATCTACCGTACACACAACTTGAGCGCTAGTCTCCCCTTTAACTAGTTGGTTATATCTCGAATTCTTTGTTGTGGGTGTTTTTTGTGATAAGAAAATTCTCTTGAAAATATTGTTGTTTTATGTGTTCAGATTCTATTTTTGGAACAATCTTGCATTAGCCATTTTAAAGAGTGTGTTGCATGAGGTGAAGCCCAATTTCCTCTTCACAAAGGGTTGCTTACTTGGTTTTCAAGTTATCCAATTTTGTGACATAATATTCTTTTATTTAAAAAATTTAATAGTTTTATGATTCTTTGTACAAGGATATAAAAAAAATCCTTTTTAGTGATGGTTTTATTTATTTCATTCTCACCTACACTCTCGCTATTGTCGATTTTATATACCATGTAAAAGTCTTCTATTTCCTTGACTATAATATTAAAAATTTCTTCTACCTTGGGAATTTTTTCCCAGAAAAAGTTCTCATCTTTACTTGTGTTCTTGGTGTGCTTATTTTGTCTAATATATCATAGCTAAATTTTAAAGTTCACACAAGAAAAAAAAATCGGTCTCTCGGCATGATTCGTAATTGTGGTGGCAGCCACAATGGGTGGTGTCATTGATGAACTCGAAGCTGATTTCACAAAAAACGCTCTTATTGTCTTATCCAATTTTGAAATAGTTTTAAACACCAAAATTAGCGCTTAATTTAACTAATTAATATTTATTATGTGGAGATATAACTATTAGTGTATATATGTATTGTATTGTATGTAGCCCATTAGATTGTTAGCCCACTTGTAGCCCATGTATTATGCTCTCTGTTTGTATTTATTGAGGATGTATCGTATAAACCTATTATGGGAAAATATTGTCTTTTACATGTCGTGCTTTAATTGATAATAGTACTTGGGTTCTTGTTCCAAGGCCTATTGGGGATAATGTTGTGCGATCTATGTGGTTGTTTAGAAAGAAATATAATGCAGATGGTACTCTTGAGCGGTATGAAGCCCGTCTTGTAGCTAATGGCAAAAGCCAACTCCCTGGGATTGACTGTGATGAGACATTTAGTCTGGTTGTCAAACCGGCCAACATTCGTACAGTTCTTAGCCTAGCGACTTTGCGGAGATGGTCCATTTATCAGTTAGACGTCAAAAATGCCTTATTGCATGGTCAGTTGAATGAAACTGTTTACATGCACTAGCCACCTGGGTTCCAGGATACTTCACATCCCGATTATGTTTGCCTTATACATAAGTCACTTTATGGTCTGAAACAAGCCCCAAGGGCTTGGTTTCAGGGATTTGCATCCTATATCACCAGGATCGGTTTTTCACATAGTCGATGTGATTCTTCACTATTTATTTTTTGCAGGGGTTTTGAGATGGCTTACTTACTTCTTTATGTTGATGATATAGTTTTGACAGCTTCATCTACAACACTCCTTCAACGTATCATTTCACTTTTAGCAACAAAGTTTTCCATGAAGGACCTGGGTGATTTATCATACTTTCTGGGCATAGCTGCAACACGGAATAATAAGGGTATATTCTTATCCCAATGCCAATACGCGTTGGAAATATTAGAGCATGCTAACATGATGAAATGCAACCCGTGCCGCACACCTACTGACACACAATCTAAATTGGATTCTTCTGGCGAGCTGGTTACAGACCCGAATCTCTATCGCAACCTTGCACGTGCTCTCCAATATCTCACATTCACTCGCCCAGATCTATCATATGCGGTTCAGCAGATATGCCTATTCATGCACGGCCCTCGCGAACCTCACTTTCATGCCCTCAAGCGCATTTTGCGCTATGTCCGTGGTACATTGGACTATGGGCTTCAGCTTCATCACTCCTCCACTACGAGTCTTATTGCCTATTCTGATGCAGATTGGAGGGGATGTCCCGAAACATGCCGATCTACCAGCGGTTACTGTGTATTTTTAGGTGACAACCTCTTATCTTGGTCTTCAAAACGCCAGCAGACAGTCTCTCGTTCTAGCGCAGAAGTTGAATACCGTGGCGTGGCAAATGCAGTAGCCGAAACTTGATGGTTAAGAAATTTGCTCCGAGAGCTGTACACTCCTCTCACCAAGGCAACCATTGTTTACTATGATAATGTCAGTGCAATTTACTTGTCTACTAATCCTGTTCAGCATCAACGCACAAAGCATATAGAGATGGACATCCATTTTGTGCATGACAAAGTTGCAACTGGTTAAGTCAAAAATTTTCATGTCCCTTCCAGTCTTCAATATGCAGATATCTTCACCAAAGGGCTCCCTACATTTCTGTTCACCGAATTTAGGACCAGTTTGAGTGTTTGCTCTAGAACTCCCGCTCAAACTGCGGGGGCGTATTAGTGTATATATGTATTGTATTGTATGTATGTAGCCCATTAGATTGTTAGCCCACTTGTAGCCCATGTATTATGCTCTCTGTTTGTATTTATTGAGGATGTGTCGTATAAACCTATTATGGGAAAATATTGTCTTCTACAATAACCACATATTTAGAAACTGAAATAAAAATAACAAACATATTTATATTTCCTAGTGGAACTTAAATTTAATCTGCAAAAATCTGATCAAACAATAAAATATGGACAAATCCTGAAATTTAACAGAACAAAAAATATTTAAATTGATTTGTTCTTAAACTAAAAAAAAAACAGAAACAAAGGGGAATTGTTTTGTTCTTAAGCGTGCCTTTTGACTTTTGTTACAAAAAAGTTTTTACTTCTATTTGTAAAACTTCAGTTTAATTTAACACAACCAAAAACCAGAAACCTCGATAGTTTTTCAGAAATTGCAACAAAAACTGTGCTATAAAATCTGGACAGTTTTAATCGATTTTGTAAAATGTGGATTATTATATATTTTCATTCCTTCGGTAAAATCCGGACTATTCAACATATTGTGAAATTTCTGAAAAATTAGGAATGTTTTACATTTCTACAATAATCTCCAAAACTACAGAAAATGAAAATTTTAAGATGTTACTTATAGGGCTAAGGGTATTGTCACCACCAACTCATTAGAAAAATGTTATCATGTCACCGTCACGTCAGCTCCACTACATGTTCAATACAAGCTTACTACGTTTTGGAAATGGTTACCACTCCACATTATTTATTATTTATTTTTTATTTATTTTTTATATTATATTAAATAAAAACACACTTATTAAACACAAATAATATTTTAATAATAAAAAGTTACATTAAATTAAATAAAAACATAATTTTAAATTTCAATAAATATTTAAAGCTACTTTAGAAATTGAAAAAAGGTAATTGAAATATCTAAGTCAAAGGTGTGATATGTAATTTCCGAAAATCATTTAAGTATAAGAAATTTGATTTAGGGTGGGAGGTGTAATCAGCCAAGACTTCAGGGACCAAAGCAGCCAAATCTTCATTTTGCTGTCTTCTTCCTCCCTATACATCGCAGCTCTTTTTCTCCATTTTTACCCTACAGCTCCTGATTTAAAGCAATTGATGCACTCTTCAAAAAAAAAGTATTTTTTTAAATCCTTTCAACGTTCATAAAGAAAGAAAAAACGGATCAAAGGGAGCATTAACCAATCAGCTTCCTCGTCAGCCTTCACACTTGGTTTCCTCTCCCATACCGAATGGCCTTAAGTTGTAATGCATAAAAATTAAAACTTATGAAACTGCAGGAAAAGGTTTCCTGGTTATGTTTTTGTTTTCTCAAATGTTTCTAAACATAAACTGAAATTTAGAATTTCAAAAGTGTAAGATGAACTTGCCGGAAATAACAACTTTAGAACAAGGAAAACAATTTCCTTCAACCCAATAGAAACAGAGTTTCTAAAACCAACAGAAATCTCAGAAACTGTAAAATAGCAGACTTAATAAACTTGAGAAACCTACGTTTTCTTTTCTGTTCTTTTTTTTTTCCTTCATTTTTGTAAGAATTTGTTTTAAAGATTGTAGGAAATGATAATCAGATAATGAAAACTAAACATAAAAATAAACTGAAAGCTAAGGCTTGTGTTAAACACGGTGTATCCTTAAAACAAATTCAACCAATAACGGACGTTTGTTTAACAGGATACAATAGCGAGAAGAACATTTCTTCCAAAACCACTTAACTCTACAAGGCTTAATTAGATGTTACCTTGATAGCAGCTTAACGATAGAAACAATATGAGGAGGGTGATTTGTGTTCAAAGATGGGAGAATCCATTTTTCTAAAATGAGAAAACTCATTTTTTTCCAACATAAAATCAAAATATCATTGATACGATTTGCTAACATGAATAATTTTAATTTAAGTTAGAGTTTGTTAAAATTGAATTGTTAAGTGCTGATATACATAGAAGCTCGTTTAAGATTGTGAGTCCATCTTTTGTCATCTTTATATATAGATGTGTCCCTGATTGAAATTACTTCTAAATTCGTCTCTGCTCATACTAACATACATACTTACATACATGTTTGCATGCATGTATCATGTATGTAAGTACATGATACCTCTGTGTATGTGTATAAAAAGGAACAAATTTAAGTTTTAAGCAATAATCACAAAACATAAAGTCATAAAAAATGATATACCAATCATAAGATGACAATAACTACAAAAATATTAACAAATACATATACAAATACAAATGAAATGATCAATCATTATGCGTTTTCATTATAAAGTTATCAAAGAGCAACATATATATAATTATGCATAGCATATATGTCAAGTTCCCCGGGCTAACATTTTATTATAATTATCAATGGACTCCATCCTCTGAATCTTTAATTGGTTTCTAAATTTCATGATGAACTCCTCCGCACTCTGATCTATGTCCGCTGCTTTTGGTGGCTTGTTCTTCTCCTCCACTGCCTTTGTCACCGGCACCACCACCTTTGCTAGCGGCAACACCACATCCGTCTTATTTAAACTCGCCATGGGGTCTCTTTCTTGAACCCCTATTTGCAAATTCTTGGTGTTGATATTGTTGTGGGAAAGAGGTGACTTGGTGGATCTCTTCATTTTAGATTTGCTTTGCTCATACACAGAGAGCCTTGATCATTTGTCCTTCATATTTATAAGTGTGCAATAAGGAAGAAACCTTAAAAAGTCAACTTGTGGCGTAAAAGAATTGGGATCCCATGTGATCTCTTCCACCATCCGCTAGATGAGGGGCAAACCTATCCTTTCAACATGTGCATTTTTTTTTCTTCTAATGGTACGTACTCAAGTTTAAAACTCTCTTCAGCTACTTTGATAGACACGTATTCTAACATGGGTTCGTATTACTGCTACAACTTTTTTGGGACACACAACAATGAATGATTGAATGATGATATTCTGCACTACAAAAATCAAAATCATAAGTGTGTAACAATCCATTTTACATTGGGTATAACTTTGGATTTATACCCAATCACCTTTATAGAAGATTATCAAATTTAGAACGCCTTATTTGTGTAGAAACTTTGTCGTTAGAAAAGAAACCTGTGGGACTTGTACCACACGGGAAGGAAGGAGGATAAACTTAAACCTTCCTTACAAGGCTTTATTAAACATTTTAACTTATCAAAATGAACTGAGTAATGGGTCAAACCTTTTGGGTTGGATTGGGAGGTGGGTTAGCTAAATCATGCTTAGATTAAGCTTGAATTAATACATATTTAATGGTTAAAGATAAAGTTTTTTTTTTGACAATTTGAATTGTTTTTATATATTAATTCCAATATTATTTATTTACTAGTTAAAATAAAAACTCTATTAATTCGGTTATAAATTGTCTTAACAACTAATTTCGGTTTTTGACAGTTATTGGTCGTTCGGCCGTTAATAATTTGTCACTATATAAAGCCGAACAATTGATAGATTTGAGGGTTGATCAAATTTTGTCACTATCTTTCTTGAATTCAATTGTTGTATCCTCAATATAAACACATACCGAAACAGTTTTTGTCTATACGATATTGTTTGGCCCCGTAGATTTTATTGTTTGCAATCTTCAAGAATAAATAAGTATCACCGATTTTAATCCAAATATGTTATTATAATTTGCATATTTCTTTTGATGTTGTTATTTTCATTGATTGTGCTTCATCTTACAGTTTGTATAATGAAAATTGTTTGTGCAAAATGGCATATATTGCGTAGCCGTATAAACAAAGGGACTTTGAAAAGAGTACAAATTGTAGAAAGTAGAAACCTCTCCCTTTAAAAAAAATAATAATAAAAAATAAATAAAAATTAAAAAAATTAAAGTAGCACATTTACTTTTACGAGTTGGTTGTGGCTTAAGTCATGGATTTGGACGGTCCATTACTAAAAATACGGCAACATGCCAACATCCATCCCCCTCTCTTGTTACACGATCACAAGACAAATGAGTTACATTAGATATAATTAAGTCGTTAAACATGGTAACAATAATATATTTTGTTACAAGATTAAGAGTGCATGGATAAACAACACTTCGAACACAACCGTTATTGGTAAATTCATTAGTAAATGTGTTAAAAAAAAATTTCTATGTTAAATTTCCCTTTAGGGTTAGCTAGCTTTTATATTCCCCTTCTTGTTTTTTGGTTTCTTACTTTCATCAAGAACCTTGTAATTTCTCTCTTTCTATAATCATATGACTCAATTATCATATGTTTTTTTTACATAGTAAAAGAAAGTAAACCTAAGGAGAACAAAACAATGAGGAAAAGAAGCCAGAGTAAAGTGGTGCGTGCAATTTCTTGATAATATCATTAGTATGTTATAATGTTAAATAAGTGTTGAAGTGTACATCTTGGTCGGCATGAATTTTGAAGATTTTGTCATTTGTTATGGATTATGATAGACATTGTGTTCATGATTAAGTTGTAGATTACAATTTAACCACATCCATTTACTATAACTAGATCTTTACTGAATAAATATGAAATTACAATGCTAGATACAGAGTCTGATAATGATATCTATAAACGGGGTGGATAGATACAAGATTAGTCCCATGTTGACTAGAAGGGGAAACGAAATCATGTCCTTTCAACACATGTTTACATCCATTTGAACAACAAATGACAAATCTCACATGAAGATGGATAAAAACATTAGATGCTGTAAAAATTGGTCAGGTGGTAGAAGCTTGGACACAAAATAAACAATTGTACAAGATCCATAACCTAATCATGAACCCAAGATTTTGATCACTTTCGTGTTCTAAAATTGACCTGCAACGGAACTTCGAATTACTTTCGGTTATTTAGCGATTACAGGAAGGAAGATGACGAAAGAGCAAAAAGGAAGAAGGTGAGAGCGTAAACTAGAACTCCATGTTTCTAATGCTAATGCATGACTATTAGTGTTAAGATTTCCTGGGAGTTGGAAGGTAAGGGCAATATGGTTCATTTAGTTATTTTTTTTCAATTTTAATGATTATAGAACATAAAAAATGATTACAAATTATTAATAAGTATTAGAACAATGATTGGACAAACATGATATTTAGATTATAAGGGGTCTTTGTGATTACTTTTGAACATCAAAAGTCTTTTTTGTAGAAGGACTTTTTGTAAAAAAAAACTTTTTACAAAAGTAATTCTCTAAAATATGTTTGGATTAGTAAAAAATCAACAAAATGACTTTTAGTTTAACAACAAATAATCACAAAAATTAGGTTTTATGAATTTTTTAGAAATCTCTCCTATCATTTTCAAAAAAAAAAACTTTTCTATTATCCAAACACAAATCCCAAACATCCCTAAGCCAACTATATATGATATTTTTGACCGTTTATTAAAGTATATTTATTCTGTTTTACACCAAAAAAAATTGAAGGTGAATCCAGATAAATCCAGTTAGGGCCGGTTTCCAAAACACATTATCTACGATTCAGCTGTACGAGAGCAAAATCGTCAATGATGGATGGAATTCAGCGGCTATTACACCATCTCTCGCCGGCACCACTCCCCGGAAAATGTTCCACACTCGGCAGAACCTCTCCGTTTCATACACAAATTCCAGTTCTCCAATCCCAATACAAACCAATTGCAAGACCCGAAATTTCTCCGTCAAAATCCGCCATTAAAGTGCATTTCATGAAGAAGAACACAGGTCTGGGTCTCAGTTCGTTTTCAACCGGTCCTGCTCGGGCCGGTTGGTTTCTAGGCCTGGGGGAGAAGAAGAAGAACATTACAGATATACCGGAGATTGTCAAAGCCGGTGACCCGGTTCTTCACGAACCCGCCGGAGAAGTACGGCCTGAGGAAATCGGGTCGGAGCGTATCCAGAAGATTATTGATGACATGGTGAAGGGCATGAGGTCAGCACCTGGGGTTGGCCTTGCTGCTCCCCAAATCGGTATTCCCTTAAAAGTAATTATTTATTTATTTAAACCTTTTTTCTGAATAATATTAAATCCATAAATATACCTACGAAAATCAACATAATATACTATTATTTACTTTTTTTTTTGGCAAGTCATTGTTTAGGAATTATCTTATATGTTTTACAGTCTTTTATTTAACTGATTGAATTCCTTTTTTTATTTAAGATCATTGTGTTGGAGGATACTGAAGAATACATAGGGTATGCACCAAAGGAAGAAACCAAGGCACAAGACAGACAACCATTTGATCTTTTGGTAAGTATTTATTCTCCAACTTTTCCCTCATAAAATAACTAAAAATCTTGAAAATTTAGGTGATTATAAACCCAAATCTTCAAAAGAAAGGCAACAAATCCGCACTATTTTTTGAAGGCTGCTTGAGGTGAGATTTTATCCCTCGTTAAATAATCAACAATAACTGTTACTGATGCTGATACTGATACTGATACTGATATTTGGTACGTGCAGTGTTGATGGATTTAGGGGAATGGTGGAAAGGTTCCTGGAAGTAGAGGTCACGGGGTTGGACCGATATGGGCAGCCCATAAAGGTGGTTGCTTCAGGGTGGCAGGCTCGTATTTTACAACACGAATGTGATCATTTAGCAGGAATTTTATATGTTGACAAGATGATTAAGAAAACATTCAGAACTGTTGAGAATTTGCAGTTGCCTCTAGCTAATGGATGTCCTAAGCTTGGTGTTCGCTAGCATTATTATTATGGTTTACAGATATTTTGCCAAAATTTATTCAGATTATGTAGAGGCTTAATATATGAGTAATGAGTGAAAGACTTTAAAAGTAATTACTTGAGTACAATATAGTTTATTCTTTTTCATTATGATTCAGCCCATTTATGTGAAAATTGGTCAGTTTTGGTTATATTTTATAGCGAACGAGTCAAATGGGTAAAACTAGAAAGTTTGGTTAAAAAATAAAAGGGCTAAGTGCAGAAAATGGTAATGTACTTTCATATATTTGTGTGTTATAGCATCTTACTTTCATTTCTTTTTATTACACCATTGTACTTTCATTTTTTTATTAAGACATAGTACTTTGGTATACCTTTCTAATTATAACATTATAATTTTAGTTTTTTTTCTTATTACAGTAGTAAAAATTACTATCATATAATACACAAATGAATTGAAGTAGAGTCATTTTTCTTTTTTACCAAAAGGCTCTTAGACCAACAATATCATAAGGTCTATTCCTTCTTACGGGGCTTAAAAAAACAATAATAATAATATTTTTACACAAAATTACATAAAAGGTCCTTGTTGTATGGAGAAATAGGCACTTCTAGTCCAACTTCAGAAAAATGGACAAACTCGGTCCTTTTGTTTTGGCGATATTGCGGAAATGGTCTTTCCGACACACATCGTCAAAAGAATGCTATTTGTAAAATAACATTTTTACCCTTTTTCTTTCATATTTTTGTATTTTATTATTTATTCCCTAAACTGCAGGTACCATTTATGTAAAAGATTTAAAAAAAGTCTGATGAAGACCACATGACAAGCCCTCTTGGCATCGAAGCACCATTGTAAGGTCATCCGTTATACCTACCACTAACCACTATAGTGGTGGGTGCCACACCATCACCACACTCCTTACCACTAACCATGGAATACCTACCACTAAACACACCACTCCACTTCATTTTTTTTAATTAAATTCAAATCAAAAATACATAAAAATCATATAATCTTTTTTTAAAATACTAGTTTTCATTAATTTAAAATACCAAATTAGATTAATTAAAATAAAAAAATAAAAATAACATTAGAAATAAAAATTACATTAATTAAAATAAAAAAATAAAAATAACATTAACATTAAAAATAAAAAACCTAAAATTACCAAGCTTAACTAAAAAAACTATCCCTTATTCCTACGTCGGACTCGAACGGACTCCTTCATCGCGAGAAATAGGTCCAAATCTTCGCCTTTGAGGTCGTACGCTTTCATTTTCAAAATTTTCATATCGGTTTTTGTTTGAATCACTGATTATGTTTCTATCATTTTTTGTTTTACCCGACTCAACATCTCCGCCTTCGTTTCATGAACGTGCACATAACGATCAAAGTTCTCTCCAAATTGATCCATAACACTAGATCCCGAAGCCGTTGAAGCCGCTTTTTTTTGCTTTATTTCTTCCAACGGGCCGACGAAGAGGTTGCTCGTCTTCAAGATCGAGCGGTTCGTCGTTGATGTCGAAATGTGTTCGCATGTCCGATTGTTGAGACGTTGCATCGGGGTTTCTTGAACGCTTTGAACCGGAAGATTGTGAACTTCCTTCCGTTTGCTCTTTCCATTTCGGAGCATCTTTCAACTTTAGCCAAGGTTTCACACACAAAAAAGCTTTGTGGGTTGCTGTTGTTTTTTCAAATTGGTTCAAAGCCGCCTTGAAAACATCAAAATCATTTGACCTGTTTTTTCGTATGCAGTGACGGAGCTTGAACTTTTGATTTGGGGGGGCCGAAAGTATAATAAGTATGAAAATCGGAGAACAGGGGGGCCAAAGCTAAATTTTATAGCTTTTGGGCCTAATATGTAAAAATTTTAATACTTAAGGACTATTTGTGACAAAAAAACAGGGGGGGGGGGGGGGGGGCACAGCCCCTCCTGGCCCCCATAAAGATCTGTCCATGTTCGTATGTTTAGGAGGTTGTTATAAATTCCTCCAAATTCGGTGCATTTGAGTCGAATATCGCGCCACTTGAAGCTAATTTAATCGGGATTTCGACTTTCACTTACCATTAACTCATAAAACATCGCGTAGACTTTCTCCTAAAAACAACCGAACGTTTGACTATCGCCTTCAATCGGGTATTGGGAAGCCGAAATCCATGCCTCGGCTAGCTTTTCTTTATCGTCTTTTGTCCATGGGACCCTTTCTTGGGTGGTGTTGGGTTGGGCCGGTGTTTTTCCTTTTTTCTTTTTAGGTTGAGGTGGTGGTGAAGGTTGAGTTTCCGAAACAAAATCCGACGAATGAGGGGGTTGTGATGGTTGTGGTTGGAATTATTGTTGTTGGAGTTGTTGGAATTGTTGGAAAGCTTGATATTGTTGAAGTTGTTGTTGTTGGAAGGTCGGGAAAGGTTGATATTGTTGTTGGAAAAGTGTTGTTTGTTGGATTGGGGAACCGGTTTGAAGCAAGTTGACAAAACCACCTTGAGGTGATTCCATGGTCGGGGAATTGGCGATGAGTTGTGTCTAACGCAAAGGCGTTATCGGGTTTGCGATTTCTAAAGTTTTTTTTTTGGGGGGGGGGGGGTGTTTTGGTTGGGATCCATTTTTGATTGATATGAAATTGTTGTGTGTGTATTGTGTATAGAGAAAGAAAAGAATAGTGTAAAAATTAAGTGTAAAAATATGGTATGTTTAGGTAAAAATATAAGTTGTTTAAATTTTTTTTTTTAAAAAAAGTTTGTTTAAAAAATTTAGCCGTTCAACGGCTAATTGCATTCCTCTTCTCCCATTCGTCGTTTTCGTTCGTTATCCGGAGCACGAGGCTCAACGAGCACGACCGACCACGAGATACCGGGGTGGTGTGCACGGACCACTATCGTGGTCACGTAGACCACGAACCGGCTCGTGGCCGGTATACCGGAAGGTCTAACATCACTCTCCAACCCGGTCCTTCTCCCCATGCTCAGCTACTTAAACCTTCACCTCCATATCTCCATCAGCGTCTCTCTCCCTTCAGTCATATCATTTACATCCTGTGAGCCTATCTGCACTCGCTTCTTTTTTAACACTCTATCGACATATCCTTTAGACCCCTTTTTCCTCCTCACACTCTTAATTTTTGCTCAACGTGTGGAATATTGGAATCCAGAAACCTACTACTAGACTACCGAAAAGAATTATGAAGTATATGGTAGCAGCGGCGATTGAGAAAAACAAAGATGATGGTGAAATCACAGCGATGATGAGGCTATGAAGGTAAAGTAACTAGATCACTAACAATGATGGTGAAGCGGAGTTTATACCTGAAGCAATGAAGCAACGATGGTGAAGAGAAACGAATGTACATTGGAGGGGATTAGTGACTATTAATATCCTGGATTCTCAATGTTTGATCTATAATTGTTAATATGCGATCTGTGATTCTTCATCTTTTATATTTGTGTAATAAACTGTTCATGAATCTAGAAAACACCATCGACTATCGGTTGCCAGACATTTCTTTGTTTTTTTTATTTGATTATTGAACATAGAAACGCCCCTTCGTATCTTTGTTTGTTTGTTTATCTTGCAGCTAGAAACGAAATTGTTCATCTGATTTATACAGATCGGGGTTTAAGTCGTAGATCATGTTTTGAGCTACCAAAACTGATTTTGTAACTTGATGAAAACAATTGTCTGGACAAAATAAACAGTTGTTTAGATGCTGAAATTGGTTTTCAACGTAGAGATCGGGAATGGAAGGTAATTGACAGGAAAAATGGATAACGACGTGTAGAAGTGTCATTGGCTGAGGAAGGCCAAAGTACTGAAAGTCAAGGTCTCAAGGAGATGTGGCTTGTTTGGGTAGTGATGAGTTTCTAGTTATGAATGTGTTCTTTACATAAATGATACATGTAGTTTAGAAACTTTTTTTGCAAAAAAAAAAAAAAAAAAAAAAAGTATGCAAAAGATAAAAAGGAAGAGTAAAATTGTCATTGTACAGAAATTTAATGGCATTTTTTTGACGCCTTGCTGTTAGGACCATTTCTGCAATAATTCCAAAATAAAAGGACTGAGTTTATTCATGTCTCTAAAGTTGGACCCCAAAATAAAAGGACCGAGTTTATTCATTTATCTAGAGTTGGACTAGAAGTGCCTATTTCCCATACCACAAGGACCAATTACGTAATTATGTATGCAGCGGAGATGTTTAGAGTGGAATCAGGGGTGTTTGGCTTATCTTTTGAGATGCCAAAAGTCATTTTAGGAAAAGATAAAAGGCAAAAGATGTTTGGTAAAAGCATTTTAAAAGCTACTTTTGGATTTTGGATATAAGGAAAACTGACTTTGTGGAAAAGTCATGAAAACCTGACTTTTTGCAACTTTTCCAAAAAAGACTTTTGGCCTCTCAAAAGATAAGCCAAACACCCGAGTTAAAAATTTGGAGGGGATTAGGTTAGGGATATATTATTACTATTACCATCGCGCCTGATCTAGAGACAAGGATAGGGATGAGCATTTGGACCGGGGAACCGGCCGGAACCGGTACCGGAACCGGAACCCCATTGAATCGGTCGGGTCGGGACCAGGACGATATTCTTGTGGATTTTTGGAACCGGTAGAACCGGCAAAAACCGGATTCGTATGTTGCTATTTCTCGATGACCGGTTCCAACATTGAAGACACGGTAGGAACTGGTAGAACCGGCGGTCCGGTTCGGTTCTTAATTTTGGTCGACTTCGGTTCTCGGGCCGGGTCCGGTTCGGGCCGGTTCCAGCCGGGTCGATTCCTTTGCTCATCCCTAGACAAGGAATTTTGAACATGACTCTTGTTCTTCAAAAAGCGATTGGAGGAGCAACGGTGACTTGCCTTCTCTTTGGTTCTTATTCTTATGGTGGTGCGTTTTCCACTTTTAGATTTCCAGGGTTTCACTTTTTACATAAATTTTAACCACTAACCTTTTTAAATAACATGAGAAAACAACTTCAATCTAGGATTATGCATAAAGCTATAACTTCTTATTTAGGAATGACAGGGTGTTTGTTGAGAAAAATAATTAAAGAAGAATTTTTAAAAAATAATGAGAGTGACGTTGGGTCATCAGTACATGAACTTTTATCTCAATAGTCATTCACAATTCAGTATTTTGTGTACATAGTTGATCAAGTTAGTAGTTCATTGAAACGAAAGTTTGAACAATACAAACAATATGAAAACATTTTTGGTTTCTTATTCACAACAGAAAAGTTGACATCACTGAATATTAGTGAGTTAAAGACAAGTTGAAAAAATATTGAAAAGAGGTTGCCAAATTGTCACATCTCAAACATCGATGCTGATGATTTATCCAAAGAACTAGAATTGTTACAAAAAGATTTACCAATTGAAAAATAATACAGTTAATACAATACTAAATTTCTTAAAAATGATAAACAATTATCTAGTTTCTTGTCTAACATACACAATATTGTTGCCTGTTTCCATTACCATTGTATCAACACAAAAAAAGGTTTTCAAAACTAAAGCTTTTAAAATTTTATTTGCGTTTGACCATGTCTCAAGAGAGATTAAACATTTTGACTTTAATTTCAGTTGAAAATGAATTTCTTCATAATACTGATTGGGAAAGTGCAATGGATGAATTTTCTTCTAAAAATGCTAGAAAATCAATGTTTAGAAAATAATAATTCAATTTATATTTTATTTTTTGAAGTTGTCTGTAACAACTACAACTTATTACTAATGAGTGAAGAAATGATGTTGTGGTAGTGAATTTACTAGATGTTTGTTAACAAATTTAAAATTTGAATTTAAGGGTAGCAAAATTACTAAATAATATTTTACAAAAAAAATTATGGGGCCTCATTTTCATTTTCGTACAAAGTCTCCGAAATGTTAGAGTCGGGCTTGAAACCAGACACTAAATTTGCAATTTACTCTTATATTTTCCTCAAACTAAAAAATTAGCATTTAATAATTACTATCTTTAATTATTTATGTTTAACAATCTTTTATTTAATTAATTGAATTTTTTTATTCAGATCATTGCGTTGGAGGACACTGAAGAATGCATAGGGATAGGGTATGCACCAAAGGAAGACACCAAGGCGTGGGATAGACAACCTTTTGATCTTTTGGCAAGTGCTTATGCTAATCCCCATTTTCACCATGAACCAACTATCCTTTCTTTTCCCGCATAAAATCTTCACTAGCTTCTGGAAAATTTAGGTGATTATAAACCCAAATCTTCAGAAGAAGAGCAACAAATCCGCACATTTTTTTTAAGGCTGCTTGAGGTGACCTTTTATCCATATTTAAAAAAGCAATAAAGATCGATTGTTGTTACTGTTATTATTACCATCGATAGAAATGTTCTATGATTTGTTTTGTGCAGTGTTGATGGATATGGGGGAATGGTGGAAAGGTTCCTAGAAGTAGAAGGAACTTTAGATGTTGACAAGATGGTTAAAAAAACATTTAGAACTGTTAAAAATTTGCATTTGCCTCTACCAAATGGTTGTCCTAAGCTTGTCGTTGTTCCTGAGCATTTTCCAAAAATTATTGATTATATTGTTTGAGTTAAGACTTTATCAGTCATTACTTGAGTACAAAATAGTTTATTCTTCTTCATTAGGGTTTAATGCAAGATCAAGAAACTACCCAATTATAGATGTCATCGAAATAATAAATAATTTTCCACCCTATAATCAATAGGGTTATTCACACTACAATATCCTAATGATTTTTTTTATTGCAATGCTATAATTGAATAGATTATTCAAAATACAACGCCTATACACGAAAAAGATTAACACTACAATCTAGTAATAGACAGAGACAAAGATAGGGTGTTTTAATAAAATAAAATAAATAAAAATATGTTGTTAATTTTGCATTTGGCCTTTTTCGTTATGATTCAGCCCAATGTGGAAATGTGTTCATGAACATAAATCCACATGTTGCGTAAATTCACATGACTACATAGTACATACAACGACCGGAAGATTTTACTCCAATTACGTTTAAAAAAAAAGGTTCATTTTGGGTTACTTTATATTGATAACTAGTGAAATGAGTATAATTAAAAAGTTTAGTTAAAAAATAAACATTTCAAAAAAGGTTTAAAAGGTTCCCCAAAAGTACACTTAAAAAGACAAAAAAAAAAAAAGTGATCTATTTTGATTCATCTTAAAATTACCCGGTTTGACATGTTATCCAACCTGCCAACTGACACACCAACACAAAGGCACACATTTTTTTTTACCAATTATAAATTTTTTGCATAAATATAATTAATTAATACATTATAGCATTATTGATTCTATGGGTTGAAGACTAGGGATGTATGAAACAATATGTTTAATGAAGGTTGCTGAATTTGAGTAGTAGCAAAGAGGAGGGTAGATAGTCCCTGAAGTTGTCCCTGTGGCTTCCCAACAAAAAGAGGTGGTGGTGACATCATCAAAAGATGATACAAGATAAACATCTTCCAAAAATAGCCCTTCACAAGGGGCAACATCACTACATGCAAATCTTATGGCTTCTTTAGTTGCTGAAGTTCCTCTTATATTCACATATGATATATTCTCCACATTAATACCACAAGTCTACAATATTACACAAAATGTTGATTTAGTTTTAGATATCCATGATTGCATTTAGCTCCAAAGTCCAACCACTTAATATGATAAGACATGTTGTACCTTGTTTGGACATGGTGTGTTTGAATCACAGTAATATTGATCGATTATGATTGGATTTGATACATTTTGCATCCAAATATCATCAAATTTAACATTTTTTACAAAACCACTTCCACCCTGATGAATGAAAACTTCACATAATCCATTAACTCAACATAAAATTATCATATCAAAAAGCAAGTTAACATCATCAAGAATCAAAGTTACCTGCCATGTTTTGATCCTGACTCCATTTTCAGTGTTTGACAAAATTGCCCCTCGAACACTCACATCATATACTTGATCACATGTGCCTGACTTTCCCAAGCTCCCAATACTTCCAAATTTAAATATCATAAAATTCATTTTTTTATACACTCTTATAAAAAGTTTATAAAAAAAGTCTTTTTATTTATTTATTTACCTTATTCCATGGCCTGGACCACAGAAAATCCTCCTCACATCAATTTTTGAGGAATTACTGACTATAGATATGCAGTCATCACCTGGATCATTCAGTAAAAAGTAAAAACCCTAATTTTATACAAAATTTACAAACTTAACATTCTGGAATTGTGATTCTGATAAAGTGATAACTAACCTGTTCTAATGACACTGTCTTTGACTTCAACATTAGTGGATGAACTTATGTGAATACCATCTGTATTAGGGCTCCATGAAGGAGCAAAAAGACTCACATGTGACACTGAAACCCTGTCACAATTCGTGAATGCCATTTGCATTTGTTGACCATTTCTAATAATCAGATTCTTCACTACCAAATTGTTGCATTTGTGAAAGGTTATAGCCTGCGATATGGTAATTTTAATTTCCATGAATGTGTAAAATCACATAATTTTTTATTCTCTTTTGGATATAGATTCAATTCTCCATTAGTACTAACCGTTGGAGCATGTCTGCAAGGCTGGAAAAAAAGGAAAAAAGAAGAGAGAAATTAGATTGTGTTTATATGATACAGATAGAAGAAAGAAAGATGTTGAATTTGAGGTCATATATATAGAACAATAAATACGTTTTTTGGGTTGATTTTGCAAGAACTAGCCCACCATTCCTGCCCCATGCCATTAATGGTTCCTCCCCCTTCTACTGTGAGGTGATCCACGCCATGGAAGTATATCCATTTATGTGTGTCGTTGCCATTCCAGACATCGGGATTACTTGGCGCAACAATGGAACCGAAGATCTATGAAGATATGAAACAGTGATTTAATTGAAAAGATGGTGATGAGATTGAAGAATATTGTATTGATCGATTGATATTTTTCATACCATCAAGGTAATTTTCGAGTGGCAAGAACCGGCGAGATTGATTGGTCGAAGAAGATAAGAACTTTCATCAGGGATTATGATTCTTGATTCTATCTTTGAAGAACATGCCTTGTTCCAAACATCTGCAAAAGCCTGAAGTCCAAACTCTCATTTAATCAGAAACGCCTAATGTGTTGTTCGTGAGACCTTATGACTCCATGTAACATTTGAAAAACCCCTCTTTGGCATTTCTACAAACACCTGGTGAACTAAAGAACAACTATTGATGTAAGCTTAATCACCTCACCTGTGTATCATCTTCAATTCCATCCCCTTTTGCTCCATAATCCTTAACATTCAGAACAATTTTTGATTCGAAAATCTTGCTTAAAGCTCCGAATTGTGGGAGCTGAATCTGATGTAGTAAAGAATCAAAAACTCGTGCATTTGCGAAATTCGAAAAGAGAAATACCGAGTAAATGATGAGACTAACAAACTTATGAGCTGAAGCATACAAAAATCCTGTTTCGCTCATCTCTCCACAGTCAGATTACAGACAAATTATATTGAAAAATTCACAGGGTTTTCATATCATAAATTTTACTCAGCTTTTGGCATTTTCATAATGTTAAAGCAGAAAACATGTTCTACTTTTTGTAATTTATAATAACAGAAACATCATTTCCTTGTTCTTTTCTATCTTCTTTCTCTCTAATTTCACAAAAGAATCATGATGGGTGAAGCAAGCTTGAACCTTGAGGACAGTAGATGATATTCTCTTTCTCTCCCCTTTGATAGTTTCTCTATTACCCTTTGACTCCTTCGGCTTTCACAAATTGCTCCAAAGCTAGTTCGATTGAACCCAAATTTTCAATCATTTATAAAAATATTTAATACACAAATATACAATATATAATTATTATATTATTAGTTTTTTTTTGACATGGAGATGAAGTGTGATTTAATTATTTTGTCCGTTGATTATAGGGAATGATTCGGTATTTTTATATTCATATAATTATTATATTATTATTGTTGTTTTGACATGGAGATGAAGTGATATTATTATCTTTATGTTTTTAGAGATATTTATTGACCTTAGGTTTGATATAATATTGTTTTAAAATCTCGCTTACGGAATCAAAGTAATGCAAAATAATATTCATCTTTTATTAGAACAGATATAAAAAATAAAACCTAAAAATTTAAAACAAAATTGAGTTTTTTTTGTTATAATATCATACATATACGTTCAACTAATAAATATACATTATCGTCTTTGACCATCGATCGTTTGAATTCCGAAACCTACGATTCGTTCATTGATATTTAGAAGAATATGTTTTTTATAATTATTTAACGGTATATTTATAAAAATTTTAAAAAACTTCTGAAAGCTGAAAAACTAGCTAATAAAAAAAATAACGTTTTGTAAAAAACTAGTTGAAATATATAAAATGACGTAAAAACATTTAGGGTAATAAGTTTTCTATAATTAATTAAGGTATATGTTGAATGTTTTTAAAAAACTTCTGAAAAGCTAGTCTAAAGCTACGCCACAATTAGTTAATAAACTAGTTTATTTTTCAAATTTTTAAGTTGTCATATTTGGCAATTAAAAAGATAATTTATAAGCTAACTTTTTGAAAATCTACTTAAAGTAGTATCGTAGGAACTTTTAAAAAAAATTTAAATATACCCTTAATCAATTATAAAAAAATATATTCTTCCATATGTCTTTTTTTGTCATTTTATATATTGCAGCTAGCTTATCAGCTAGTAGCTAGTTTTTCTGCTAATATGTCAAACATAGCTTAAGTAGCTTTTTAAAAAGCTAGCTTATAAGTTATTTTTTGTTTGCCAAACAAGACAACTTAAAAAAACTCGAAAAATAAGCTAGTTGTGGCAAGTCAAACACAACGTAAACAGTTTTTTAAAAAGTTAGCTTATAAGCTACTTTTTTGCTTGACAAACATGACAATATAAAAAATCGACAAAATTGCAAAAAATGGTTCATATGGCTAGTCGAAAATCGCCACTTTGGTTCAAAAAGTTTTGGACTAGCACTACCGGTCCAAAACTTTGATTTTGTTGCGATTTTGGTTCAATTTCTAACATCCCAAAAATCACAATGAATTTTAACTTTTCAAAAACAACTCAAAACCATAATTGTTTACAAAATCATTGTTTCAAAAATGTATTTCAGTAATCAGAGTATCCCAAAATCTAAATAACATAAAACCAAAAGATGTGCACAATCACACATTCGTCTTGACACGGTCATCTGAAGTACCTGAAACAATAAACTGAAACTGTAAGCCAAAGCTTAGTGAGTTCCCCCAAAATACCACTACACAACATATAATCAAGCACACATCGGGTCTACAACCTCCTGGTTGGATTACCCCTGGTCCATAACCTTACAGTTGGAATGCCCTGGCCCACAACCTTACGGTTGGAATGCCCCGGCCCACAACCTTTCGGTTGGCTTGCCCAATACATCACAGATCCACAACTTCCTGGTTGGATTACTCCCGGCCCACAACCTCCTGGTTGGAATGCTCCGGTCTGTTGACTGACAACACAAAGCAACACATTCTCAGCCCACATACTATGTCAACATATACATAACAATTAACATAGATCTAGTAACAAATAATCATATAACCAATCAACAACAGATAGATCTACAGATCACTACCGCATAACAACATCCTATATACCAGGATACATAAACTAATGGGCCGACATTGGTGCCTTCGACCCACAAGAACAGTGAGGAAAACTCACTTATCAGTCCGAACAAGTAGCTGAGTAGGTCTCTGCTCCGAATATCAACTCTACTAGTCACCTATTTTATCAAATAGCGACTAATCTCAAATACAGCTCAAAATACCCAAAATACCTTTAGGTCAAACTTGGTCAAATTCTGGTCAAAGTCAAAAAGTCAAACCTGGTCAACACAGCTGAGTACGCCCAACGTACATGAGTATTGACCAAAATACGGGCTGGTTGATTTAGTAAGCCCGGCGTACCTGGGTTACGCCCAACGTACGTTGCCTTCACTCAAACTTTCCATTAAGAGCTTATTCTTTAAGCTCTTTTGTCCAAATTCCAGATCTAGTCATAAACTAACGTCCTTACCCATAAAGTTTACAACTTTATGGTCTTGCATGGCCATTAAGTGCCCAAACACAAAAACCCTAACTACTTAACCCATTAAGACCTTGTAACTCATGCATGGAAGGAATCTAACAATCAAGATTACATTTTTATGCTTCAGATGCTTCAAAACGTCTGAAAGGACAACTTATATGGATTAAAGTAACTCACACTCATAATACCAAGCTTATGGGACCAAAAGAACACCATTTCATAACTAAACAAGATCTAAACAACTCTTAATCAAGTTTAGAGCTTTTTACCTCCAAATGATGTTGCTATTCTGGATCCAAAGAGTCTCATTCCTTCAAGATGATCTTCTCTTCTTCCTCTCTCCTTCAAGGTTACTAAAACACACACAAAGTGCTCAAGAATGCTCTAAAATGGATTAGGGTTTGCTTGAGGACGAAAGTGGTGTAACACCCATAAAAATCATGCCAAGTTTAAACTTTTAAAAACATTTCAAAACCATTAACCATTAAAAAACTTGTTTTCAAAATGTATCATATCAGAGTGTCCCAGAAATAAAGTCATAAAAAGTGAGGAGCTGTACGATCACGCCTTTGCCTTGCCGCGATCCCCTGATGTACCTGAAACAATAAACTGAAACTGTAAGCCCGGGAGCTTAGTGAGTTCCCCCAAAATATCCATACCCACAACAATACACATATAATCATAAACAACATACTATGGGTCCAGTCAACCATCGAGTTGGAATACCCCAGGCCCTCAACCATCCGGTTGGAATGCCAACATACTATGGGTCCAATCATCCTCGGGATGGAATACCCCTGGCCCACAACCAACAGGTTGGAATGCCCACATACTATGAGTCTAATCATCCTCGGGATGGAATACTCACGGCCCACAACCAACAGGTTGGAATGCCCAGGTCTATTGGCTTCCGCACAAAGCAGGTAAGCCTCACCACCAAACAAACATGTGCGCATATATATCAGATAATCACATAATAGTCTATAGACAACATGTGATCTAACAGATCATACCAAACAACACGTAATACCATCCTATCTACCAGGATACCGATCTAACAGATCATACTAGCATAACATATCCATATAACAATCCAAAGGGCCGGCCTTGGTGCCTTAGACCCTTGAGTATAATGAGGATAACTCACCTCTCAACTGTCGACTCGAAAGATAAGCTCAAACTCTCGGATCACCGCCACAAACTCCACTACCTATATTTACCATGGAACCATATTCGTAAATTTCCAATTTCCCAAAATGTCCCAGAAGTCAATTAGTCAACCCTTGGTCAAAGTCAAAGTCAACGGTCAAGGTCAACAATCCATGTTGACCCGACTCGTTGAGTGCAGTCACTAACTCGTCGAGTCCTTTCAGAACTCGAGTAGTCGTGAAATCCCCCCACTGACTCGTTGAGTTTCCCTGCAACTCGCCGAGTTCACGCGTGTTCAAAAGTCGAGAAAACCCTAGTTGACTCGCCGAGTCACCAAACTGACTCGCCGAGTCCATGCAGAAGTCCTTGCACGACAATCTTCATCGGACTCGCCGAGTTGACCAAGCAACTCGCCGAGTCCCTTCAGTCATTTATCCATTCATATGCTTTTTAAGCCATTTTAAGGTCCCATATTGCATATCAAGCTTCCCAAGGCATGTTTATCACATAAAGTTGCAAACTTTACGTGCATGCAAGGCTCTAAAGGCTTAGAATGTCAAATCCAAACTTGTAATGGAGTTTTACACCTAAAGAGAGGTTTACACTTGCTAAAGCTGGAAACTTTATGGACTTAGAGACCAAAGAGAGTTCAGATCTGAAGTTGCAACTTCAGATCTTAGCTCATACCCAAGAATAGCTTCCTAACATGCTAGAAAAGCCCTAATCTTTAACCAAATGAGATCTAGAAGGAAATGAGGTCAAGGTAACAACTTGATACCTTCAAATGATACTACACTGAGGCAGACTTCAGATCCACACACGTTCCTTGCTGCTAGCTACTTGATCTTCAATCTCCTCTTACTAAGATCCACCTTCCAAAGCTTAAAACATACAAGAATGGAGCACACACACGGATTAGGGTTTGTTGGACTCTCAAGAGGCTGTAAGGGAGGCTAATAAGCCTATTCGTACTTCCCACAAGTGCGACTTGGCTGTCCCCCAGTCCTGGTATCAACGGTCTTAGACCGCTTCGGCGCTGACTGTGACTGTGCCGGGGCCTGTCGCTGCTCCCTCAAATGCAGCTCAATCTCCAACTCGCGCCGCCTAGCGGCCTCCTGTAAGTCCAACAGTGTATCACATCGTTGAGTAGTAACAAACTGACGGATGTCAGTATTGAGCATGCTCAGATAACGTGTCATCTGATCCTGCTCCGTGGCAAACTCCAGGCAAGACATCGCCCTCTCAGTAAACACGCGCGTGATCTCCGTCACCGACTCAGTATCCTGTTTCATGTCTAGGAACTCCTGTGACAACCGCTCGCGCTTGAACCGAGGAATGTAGTGAGTGCGGAACATATCCCTGAACTGCTCCCGCGTAACAACAGCTCTCTGGTCATCCGTATATGACCCAGTCACCAGCCTCCACCAGTCCTTTTCCCCAGTTCGTAACAAGTTCAGGGCACACCTGACCTTCTGGTCAGTAGGACATGAACACGTGAAGAAACATCCCTCCACGTCAGACAGCCACCTCATGGCTACGATAGGATCCTGAGTACCATCGAAAGTCGGGGGCTTCGTGTTATCGAAGTCCCGGTACTGAAAAACTCGGCCAACTCCTCCCCCTTCCGCTGTTACAGCCGCGGTAACTGCAGCGGCAACCGTCTCATCAAGGGCTGCGTATCTCTCATCGAAGTACTCCATCATAGCAGACTTGACAGTCCCAAACAACTCCAGAATCTGACCCCGAACAATCCCGACCACCTCCTCGCGGATGATCTCCCTGACACGATCCTCTGTCAACACTGGCCCTTCCTGGCCGATAATCTCAGGCGCTGTCGGGGCCTCCTGATCGCCCTGCCCTG